GCTGTTTCAACATTGAGATATGATCTAATTGCCTCATGTTACAGCTATTTAAATAGTTTGACAACTAGCAGGAAAGGTTCATGGCCCAATGACATCACTACATTGAAATGGTCTATACTCTTAAATAGACACACATGCAAAATAATCAAACTTCAGTTGTTGACCAGCTTCAAGCCTGTCTTGTTTTCAAAATAAAAGTTCTACATAAATAGTGAGAATGATGCATGCTTACATAAACTTAAAAATAAAGAAATATCATTGTAATTCACTATAACATTGTGGCTAATCAAACTTTGCCTGTGGCGTGCATATTAATGACCCTGTGTGGATTTTATATTTATAGAATCGACATGAGAATGAGTAAAACAGGTGTTTGAGGCTCACAGTATGTCATTACCATTTTCTGAACTCTTATTATTAAGCTTTGCCTAGCTATATTCAGATATTCATTCTATGGAACCTTAAATATTTTACTTTTAATCGCTGTATGTTTGTCTTTCTTTAGGCAAAAATAAATGGTTATTTTTCCTATTTAAAAGATTGAGCTGAGGAAGTTTTTCATGTTATTTTGAATTTGGCACAGAATGATTCACCTTTATTTGACATCGTTCATTTGTGATCTGATTTCCAAAAACACATCTTTGCAGTAGATGCGAAAACAAGCTGTGTGCTGAATTTATCCAGTCAACCGTGCTGACACTGCAAATATGCAAATGTTAACCCAGATTTGGTAAAATACCACGTAAATTGTCAGTGTATGAACACCCACAATAAATTGTTAAGCCTGAGCAAATTATATGCAGTGTGCATAATGAAACCATAGATTGAAGTGTAAAACTTGCACATTTACTACAAAAGTCACCTACATTACACTAGTACAATGTCATTGCCATTGGATCAACTACTAATGTTTGTTATTTCTGAAGAATGCTGTAGTCATTGAGCACCAGGGATGTTTAGCTCTTCATTTATGTCTTCGTTTATACCTGGAATTGAACCTGATACTCCCGCTCCAATAACAAGCATCTAACTCTTGGCCAAAATTGAGGATGATATTGATATGAAGGCGCTGTGGTCTTGTGAGGCACAACAATCTCCATGTATAGTAAAATAACAGTACAGCTTAATTGACTTAACTTGTACCTCAGACTCCCTATAAGTGCTAATGAATCTAATTACGTTAAGCCTAATTGCTTTTATTTGGCCTCTCTTTTTATAACCTAACACAGGGATCACAGCTCAAGGGTATGATGTATGTCTGGACTAAACGGGTCACAGTGGAATTGTGTTTCGCATATCCTTAGAAAGCACGTCCTATAGAAGGGGCTGTATTTCAACGTGTCCTGTGTTTTCTGCTGAAGCAGAATGTGATGCTTTATGTAGGTAACCCAACACAATGCATACGTCTGCATAGTGCATACTTAAAATATTGCTTCACAGCCATTTGCAATGAAGCTGCTTCTTAAAACAAGAATGCATCATTTTACTTGGTTCATGAATATTAATAGGTTGATGCAACCCAAGTCTAGCAACATCTGCATCTTTTGTTAAAGAGCAAAAATGGGTCACATTTCATAGTTTAGCAACTAGAGAAATAAGTTTGAGCTTCATTTTACAACTTACAAATGCAGTTGTTAGACAGACCTTTAGTTTGCTTATGCAGGGTGTGTTTGTCTAAGACACAAGGTACAGAACAGAGGAGTTGATTAAATATTTATTTTTTCAAAGCATTAAAGCAATGTAGTACAACCAGTAGAACGTCTACATGTGTCGCAGTGAAAAATCTGTGCATTGCATTGTGTTTACATAAAAGAAACTGAATTTGAGAGTGTGTTCAGACTTGGAGGGGTTTGGTTTGAATAAAGCGATTTGTTCTGTTAGTGCAGTTTGTTTTAATACTGCCATCCAAACATTGATGTGCACCAAACAAACAGAGACCACTGAAAAGCCTTGGGTCGCAAACCAAATGAATTCTGATGTGGTTTGACTGAAATATTAATGCGACACGGACTAAAGACTTCTAAATGGACTTAAAAACAGCACTTGATGTCATAAAAGTCAGTGGTTTTGTATATTTAGCCTGAGTCATAAAAATGAGTATCAATGTTAAAGCAACACTCCACTTTTGTAAAATAGGCTCGTTTGACTTTCCTATGAGTTAAACAGTTGTGTTTTAACATTTCGTTTTTAATCCAATCAATCTCCAGGTCTCGCATCAGCACTTTTTAGCCTAACATACATCATTAAATCAGATTAGACTAGGGTTGTCCAAACTCTGTCCTGGAGACAGAGTTTAGCTCCAACTTCCTCTAACACACCTTGGAAGTCTAGTATACCTAGAAAGAGCTTGATTAGCTAGTTTAGGTGTGTTTAATTGGGGTTGGAACTAAAATATGCAGGACACCGGCTCCGAGTTGGACCAAGTTTGGACACCACTGGATCAGACCATTTGCATCTCACTCAAAAAATTGAAAAAAATATTTTCATAATTTTTCAACTTAAAGCTTGAATATTCTGTAATTTTCTAGCTGATATTCATTCAATTTCCTTTGGCTTTGTCCCTTTATTCATCAGGGGTCGCCACTGTGGAATGAACCGCCAACTATTCCAGCATATGTTTTACACAGTGAATGCCCTTCCAGCCGCAACCCAGTACTAAACCATCCACATGCACACAGTCACACACATCGGCCAATTTAGTTAATTCAATTCACCTATATTGCCTGTATTTGGACTGTGGGGGAAAACGGAGCACCAGAAGGAAACTCACGCCAATATGTGGAGAACATGCAAACTCCACACGGAAATGCCAACTGGCCCTGACTGGACTCCAACCAGTGACCTTTTTGCTATGAGGCAACAGTGCTAACCACTGAGCCACCGTGTCACCCTCTAGCTGAAATGATTCAAATAATATGTTAATCAAAGGACTTGATACCATGGTACTGTGGCTGCAGCAGGTTCAAGGATATTTCACAGCTCTGTTACCTAGCTAGGGCCTATTTTTACATGCTGCATAATATCAATGCGCCTGCTGCAGTCATGATATGGCAGAAAAGTTCCTTGGTTCAGTGTTGTGTATAGGGATGGGACGATAACCATTTTTAAGGTATACCACGGTTTGAAAAAGTCAAGGTATTAAAACCACCAATTCTTTCTGTTTTGTAAGTTTTTTTTTTTTTACTTTTTGTTTTAAGTTTTTTAAGATCAACAGTATCTTCAGCAAAAAAGACATCAAAAATGCTGTTTTAATTTGTAATGATTGTTTTTAGACCTAATTAGGACAGCAGAAGTCAACGATTCATTTGAATTATTTGTCCTGACACTTTTTCTGTTAAAAATATTTTAAATGTTTCTCAAAATATTATGTTCAAAGGGGAAAAAAAGTTTTAGTTTTAAACACAGCCATTTAAAAAGAATATATTTTAAAGCAGTAATCACAATACCGTGAAACTGTGACTTTTTTTTTTTTTTATCCAAGGTTATCATACCATCTGAATCTTATACCGGCCTATGCCTAGTTGTGTACTTAACTTTTTCGTCTTAGTCTTGTGATGGAGTTGTGTGGATTTTGACTCATACTCGTACTGTATATATTAGGAATTGGACTCCACTAAAGTCTGCTCCAAGTCCTTTTCAAAATAGTTTGTTCTTATTGCTGTATCCAATGATTGTTGATTTTCTTGTGTGTAACTTGAGCGCATGGCAGCAATTTCTCTGAAAGCATTTTAAGAAAAAAAAGAACCGAAATGTTGCAGAATTTCCCATCTGTCCAGGTGGGAAAGGGCTTTAGTGCAAACGGGAATATGTTAAAATAAATGCAATATCATTTTATAATTATTCTTAAAAAAACAATACGTAGTTTTTGAACTAATTTTGAAGTTTTATAAAATTATGCCAATTTATCAGGTTTAAATTAGTTTTTTACTCTTTCAAATGACACTTTAATTAGCATTAGTTTAAATGCATATTATATTCTCTTTTAAAAATACTAAAAAAAATAAACAAATGGACTCAAACTTAACTTGGGGTGCTTCACACCTAGACTTTTGTTTGGGAACTAGTCTCGTTTCAACAGTTAGCACAGTTCATTTGGCATATGTAAATCCAGCAATTCGAATCCACGCCAAATCAATCGATCCAAGATCGCCTAAATGAGGTAGGTGGTCTTGGCTCAAATAAAACAAACTCTGGAGCGGACTGATTGGAGTGACGAAAGCAAAACAATCTAACGACCCAGGCTATATCACATTGTATTATGGGCTTGCATGGTTATATAAAGAGAGCATGATGAGTAGAGCGAGATGTCATTCTACCAGTTAATGTACTTTTCATGTCAAATACGAAAGTGAAAGCATGCTGAACTATTAACGAGAGCTGTTTATCCATTAAGAAAATTGACCGAATTGCTGTCTTGGTTTGTTATTTCTCTCTATAATGTAAAGCCTGTAATGCATCATTCTAGCCAAGGCTATGTATGAGAAAGTCTTGCATCTGATTTATATTTGGTGACTATGTCTGAGGTTGTCACCATTTATAATTAAAGCACAGTTTTAATCCCTGTTTCGAAACAAAACAATCGATTTACAGGTGTGAAAGCACCCTCAAACTCAGTCTTTTCTGGTCTTGACTTGAACTCTATCTGAGCATCTTAACATTTTCTATTGGTCTTAACACATAATTTAACTACAAAAGTTTTCTTTTAAGCAAATTAGAACTAATTGTATAATTTTTCTTTTTACTGGTTTGGACCAAATTAACCTACAATTGTAAAACATCCTAAAAGAAATGTAAAATTTGAATTGAATTTAATATCAAATAAACAATTGCTAGTATATGATTTTTCTGCAGTAGAGTCTGTTGTGAAAGTCCTGCTAACATGTGAAGGACAGTGCTGGGGCTGAATAAGTCTGATGACACATCCTTGCAGGCGGTGAAACAGGCTGAGATGAATCTTGACCAACTCTATGACCAAATATAGTTGTCATTCTCTTTTACAGATCACAGACGTGTCCTTGCCAAATTATTTAGTGGCTTCCTCCGTGGGACTTCTCCCAACACAACTCCTTAACTCCTATCTGGGCACCACTCTGCGTACAATGGAGGATGTGATCGCAGAACAGAGCATCAGCGGATACTTCGTGTTTAGTCTACAGGTGAGCCTCACTGAGAATATGTTTGACCAACTCTATCTCATGCAATTTTGTACAATTTGCTTAAAATTTTTACCCCTCATGTAAAAATGTATTCTTTTTCAAATATTACCTTGGTGATGTTTAATGCAGAGGTTTTTTTTTCACATTTTACACACATTTTACACACATTTTACACACGATAGTATTTAAAGGGCACCTATGATGAAAATCATCTTTTGTTTGGACAGAACTGCGTGTATGTATTGTGTCTCCACAGTCATATTGGGGTGAAATGAACACAATAAATCTCCTTTTTTTTATTTACTAAATTTTAAAATATGATGCAAATCTCTGTCATCGTGAGGCCCACCGCAAAGTGACATAGGAGTGCGGTTTCCCCACCCACCGAATTGATTGACAGCCATGTAGTAACATGTCTCTGTAGTAAAGACAGTAAAATCGCTGTAATTCATCACCATAGCTGCGTGTCAGTAGAAATATAAAAGAATACGCTTCAATCACAGTTTTTGGACTTTAAATCAGGTTTATTTTGTACGTTAACAATGCATATCCATACAGCAGTGGATATTAACGTGTATCTTTTCACATTTGCCGTGTAAAAAGTGCAAAGTTAAACGTTCATGATGTGTGTGTGTGTGTGTGTGTGTGTGTGTGTGTGTGTGTGTGTGACTTATCCTTGCAAAAAGGCTTGAATTATCTCCACAACAAATACATCAAATAATCATTGGAAAAGTTCTTACTGTAGTATTTCTCACAAACGTTACGTGAGATCTGCTTCCTTCATGTCTGTCACTGTGCTGTTGATTTGACGCTGCAGGAGATGGCAGGCACGTGGAATGGTGGGCGGGGAGCACCAGCTCACTTGCATTAAAGGCACAGGCAACAAAAACAGCTACAATGTGTTCTGTTAAAAAATCCCAATATCCAGAAAGCTATAATAAATGATCTGATAGGTGTTTGGAGCTGAAACTTTACAGACACATTCTGGAGATACAAAAGACTTTAATCTTGAAAAAGGGGGAGAATAGGTGCCCTTTAATAAATAGTTTTTAATAACTTTGTTTTGTGTTTGCCATGATACTTTACGAGTTATTTTGTAAGATACTAGTATTTACATAGTATTAACTAGGTTAATTAAGTGAATCTTTAGACAACAGTAGTTTGATCCTTACAATAATACAAATAAATAAATAAAATCTGCTTTCCTTCTAGAAAAAAAAAATCAATAATATAAAATTCTGTAAAAGTTTGCTTGCTTTGTTAAACACATACATTGTAAAAGATATGGACATAGTATCCATGACGTCACCTATGGGTTTTTCAAGAACCCAGAAAAAGCTACCAGTAGGCGCGGCCAACCGTCATCATTTTGATTGCGTGTCATCGCACCAACCGAGGGATACCAAATAAGGGCAAAGAGGCGGAGCATAAGCGGAGCTAGAGGCATGCTGGCATTCTGCTTAGACAGGCTTTCCTATGGGAGAAACGTTGAACTCTTCATTACCTGCAACTCGTTTGTGTTCTGACCACATGTACTTGGTTGTATAATATATCAATAACGTGTTTAGTCTTTTAAAAACACTGTTGTAATACATTGAACCACTAAGCATTGTTCTTTTGATGTTTCTCAGCAGGAGGAAAATGTGATTACTTTCACATACTTCAAATATAGTCTGTGTTAGTAAATGCAAGGATGTTGATGAAATCCAGCATAACACTGTATGACAACACTTCAGATGACTGTTCTAGAGCCTACAGCTAATCAATATGTCAGATTCTGGAGTGCATTACAGGTCTGAAGATCATTATAAATGATAAATAATCTTAAATAAGACCAATCCATTTATAGAGATGGATTAAGTATATAATTTCACTCACCTGGGAAATGGAGGCCACATGAATGGTTTGTGAGCACAGTTAAGTGCACACAGCAGGCCATATTATCTGATAATTGTAAGAAATTATTCTAAAAGACAACTGACTGTAAAGCCACATAAAACAAAACAAAAACACGATGAATATGCAGAGATCAGCGGCTAGTAGGGATGTAACGGTATCAGAATTTCACGGTACGATAATACCTCGGTATGAATGTCACGGTACGGTATTTATTGAATCATTTACAGGAAAAAAAAAAACTTTTGAAAATACTCCAAAAAAGTGTCAATGACATACAAATTAGCCATCTATCTGTTAGCTTTGAAACAGGAACTTCAATTTTAATAACAAAAAAAATATTAAACCATGTAAAAAAATAAAGTTTCAATTTAGTATTGTTAAAAACTCATCACATTTAACATTTAATCACTCACTCACTTAGATAGAGATGGGTTTAAAGGAAAATTATCATATAACTATAATCTGGTAAAAGCTGGTATCTCTGGGTATTTACAATGTCCCCTGCAACAGAAAAAACCCCTCTCATTTGGGACTGAGGATTCTGGGACAAGAGAGATATGACTTGGCCCATGTTGACAGCAGTGGGGTAACATTGTGCATTGTCTTTCCCCCACTTGAGAGGACAAACCATGAGTGAGATAGAGATCTCTTTGCGGTACAAGTCAATGTCTGCATCAATCTGAACAGTGTGCTGTGTTTCTGCAGTCCCCATGACTGTTATTAGTCGTATTCCCCAACTTGCAGGCACGTGCACACATAGGGCTCAACCTGTGCAGTGCACATGCCCTTTTTAGTCTTGGATAGAAAGTGCCCTTCCAAAACGATCAAAAGTGCCCCCGCGACGCGACACAACCTCCGTCCAGTCCAGCCCTTCAGTAGGCGCGCGATAACACCTCTCTTGAGTATGCGCGCTCAACCCCCCCTCGGCGCTTTACAATACGCGCGCCACAACACAGCTGATCAGAACGCGCGCGACAGCACCGCTATTCAGTACGCGCGCGGCGACAACACCCGCTTTAGGTTCGATCATTTCCATCTTTTTTTCATCTCCGCTACTAGCAGCACACTCCATTTCCGCATTACTGGATCTGTAGCGACAACAGACCGCAAAGGATTATGGCCACGCCGGGGCTGATGGGAAATGAAGTTTCAGCTACCTCCCGTTCGCTTCATTCGCCTGAGCAAATTTTCTCAGAAGACCTATAGTTTTACCGAGTCATGCGACTTCGGTAATATCGAAAAAATTTAATATTGCGGTATGACGGTATTTACAATACCGTTACATCCCTAGCGGCTAGTCTGCCTGAGTCAGCTTTTGTGAAGTGACGGCGACCAGCGAGAACTAGCTGTCACTCAAGTGGCCACGCCCTTAATTATGCAAATCTAATATAAAGGAAACAGATTAGTTATAAAAAAAATCACCCCCCTCACAATTGTCATGAAGGGTAATATTATCTTTATGAACCAAAATCTCTTTGTAGCAGGCTGTAAATTCCTTTTTTTCTGTTGTAAAGTGGGCCATTTAAACTGTGAGCTCAATTGACGTTTGCTCCATATGGAGCCAGCACTAGCAGAATTTCGATGAATTGCAGTTTCAGTTACTTTCGTATTGGCTTCCTGAGGGAGAGCAGGAGGTTGCCTTTTGGTTAAACTTTATTTGATAAATATTCAGAAAGAATTAAATTTAGTATAAATGAGTAGGGCTTATATATTTGCCTTCATTTGTGCTTGTGTGTGCACACACACATGCTAAATCTCTTAAAGATTGTAGCCCATGAGAAAATGAAATATTTATGTCTACTCTAGATGGTAGGGATCGTTTTTGTGGAGCCTGTCGTAAACCATAATTATAGATGGTCACTGGCACAAAAAAGCCTTGGCCAAAAACGTCTCCTTGTTTTGCATGCGTGCTCGTGTGTAGTGAATTTATATGCCAGCAATAACATTCTTGACTAAAACAATCTGTTCTTACAAATTAGCCCATGAAATATTGCTTAAATTTATAACCACAAGCCTTATCGTCTGGATTCTTGTCTCTGCTCCATCAGCAGATCCGTCTGGTAATTGTCTGTCTGTTCTTCTCATCAGATCTTCATCAGCATCGGCCTGATGTTTTACGTTGTACATCGAGCACAAGTAGAACTGAACGCTGCCATTGCCGCCTGCCAGATGGAGATGAAAACGTCATACATGAACGGCAGTGCGGCGAACCACGGCGGATCCACATACTGCAGCAAACGGACTGCGGCTACAGGAGGAGGAATCAACGTGGTCTGATCGACGCTTTTCTTGTTGATGAACAGATTTCAGCGCTTCCTCCAGTTGCTCTGGATTGACTGGAGAAGATCAGCATCAGGGAGTTTTTTTTTTTGTTGTTTTGGAAATGTTCTGGTCTTTTTGAGGGCCGGCAATGAACTGTTAGAGCCGAAGAGATGAGGAAGTGGAAACGTTGCCCAAATATCCTGGGCAACAGTATTATCGGAGAAGTTGACGTTGAGATTTTTTTGCAGTACATTTAATGTATTTTTTTCTTTTTAAAGATCTTTTTTATGATACTAATATAAATTAAATAACTTTATAGAAGGTCTAAAGCATGAAATGGATAATTTAAATAATTCCAGAGAATGTTCTAGAGATGTAGTTAGATATTACAGAGGGCCCAACTAATATATCAGGTTAGTATGCTTCAGATGTTTGCTTTTTTGTTTGTTTTATATCTCTATATCTCTATCTTTACACTTATTTGGATAAAATGAAGAATTAGTTTTAATTTCCTTTGATACTTTTTTTTTTTAAGTATTGCTTAATAGGTTGTGTGTGTGTGTGTGTGCGTGTGTGCGTGTGCACGTGCGTGCGTGCGTGTATAGTAAAAAATATATATATATTATCAGTTAGCACCACCTGGATAATATTGTGGCTTTTGCCAAAACTGGGAACACTTTTGCTACTCGGCAGTTTTGTAACAGATGGGAAGGGAGGAAATTTTCTTAGCTGGATATTTAAGGATGTCCTGCCAAGAGGCTTTAGTACAGCGTGATTAGCTCAGCGGTGTAAATCGTACGTGTTCGATTTCTCATTCTCATATTGAGAGGACTGAAATTCTCTGCCTTCTTTCTCGTATGATTTAACCAAATGCTTTATTATAGGGCTGTTAGCATTTTCACTTTTGTTGTTGTTGTTAATTTATTCATTGTTAGAATCTCAATTCAGAACATTTGCACAAATGAGTTTAAGCTGAATATGTATGATCGGATTTCGAAATGTTGAAAAGTGGAGAGAGGGTAACATACGGCTGTCGAAAAAAAAAAGGAGATCACTTGAACATGGAAAACCCAAGTTTCTCTGGATTTATTGTGTGTTGGTGATATTTGTTTTATTCTACAAACATCTGCTAACATTTGATCCTAATCTCAAGTAAAGGTCTTGTCATTTTTAAATGAGTTTTTATTCATTTTTATGAAGAGTTCAGATGCAAAAACCTTTAACTGCCATCTGGAATTTTCTTCTACAGTAAGCATTTCTCTCAGCCTTTTATGTTTTTGTTTAGTTATTTCATGTTAGAAGTGATGAAACTGGCCAATTCTTGCCATAAAAGTAAAACTAACCTAAGAAAAATGCTAATTTTAAAAGAATGATTCAGGTGTTAGAGGTTTTTGCATCTTTATCTTTTATGATTGAAAAGTTATTTCAGCAAATGTTAATTCTCTAACTTTTTATTTTTTTGGTATGTTGTCTAAAATTTTCAAGAAATTTTCAAATATGCCTTGTACTGTAGATGATGGCAATATATAATATTTGAATAGTTAGTTATTGTTATTAAATGTGAAATTTAAAAGTTGAACAACAGTGGTTTGACATAATAATAATAATAATAATTTCTTAATGGAGCTACACTGTTACAAATTCTGAAACTTACTTCAAATTCCCTAACATTGCATAATAATATTAATAATAATATTAATAATAATATAATTTTATAATAGAACTACACTGTAAAACAATCCTTACATTTACTTCAAATGTCTTAAAATTGCTTAATAATTATAATAATAATAATTTCTTAATGGAGCTGCACTGTAAAACCCAACAGTCAACTTTATGAAATAAAATGAGTGTAGTAAACTCAAAATTGACTGATAGTTCATTCTACTCATTTGAACAGACTTTTGAACTCAGTGTTGAAGGTAATGAGTTAGTTAAAGATTTCATTACTTCAGCTTAAATGGAGCATTTGGTTTCCTCAAATGGTTTGAGTTGCCTTAACTTATTGGGTTTTACAGTACTCAATTAGTTTGAGTTCTCTTCATTTATTGGGTTTTACTGTGCTCAAATAGCTTGATTTACTTAAATGGTTTAAGTTTACAGTACTCATTAAGATTCGTTTTTGAACTTAAATGGTTTGTTGCCATCAGTGTCCTCAAAGGGTTTGAGTTATCTTAACTTTTCAGTTTTTACAGTGTAAATATTAATAGTAATCATTTCCTAATGGAGCTACACTGTAAAAATATGCATCTTTTTTGTAGAATCAAATAAACTTTTCAACTTGAATCAGCCAAACTGACTGAAAATATGAAGTTAAACATTGTATAGCTAAAAAATAGTTGAAACCTGATGAACTAATGGAATTAATTTACAGTAACAAAAACATTTGTCTTTACTTTTTGTCAAATAATTAAGTATTTTACAGTCTAATAATATTAATCATATCATACTCATAATATTAATCATAATAACACATTAAAAATATGTTTAACAGATAAATATAATACATTTTTCATCATTGAAACTCAAGCAAATTCTGGTTTCCTAACTCAAATGGAGTTAAACCTTTGCTATTGTGTTGTCTAAAAATGAACATAAACCTTTTTGATATCCATTATAAATTTGGAGAAAATGCCATCAGTAGTTTACGAAAAATAGTTTTACTCAAACACATAACTAAATTATAAATCCAGAGAATCTGAGAAATTTCAAGGGGTCTCTTATTTATTTATTTCCATAGCTGTATATAATTTATGAGTGTGTGTATAAGGGAACATATTTTAATGTTATTGCATTATTATTCTTTTTATTCTTCTTCCTGAAGTTCAGTGTAACTCGCATCAGTCTAAACACAAGCTAAAATGACTCACAGTTCACCTTTATCTCCCGTTATTCTTATTTCCAAAACTGCACATCTGCAAAAATTTCAGCTCAAGCCCTCCTCAGTGCAGTTACCTATTCTGAGCGTGAGGAGAACGGGCTACAAATAACTAACAAAACTGCAAACTACAGTCCAACGGTTATTACGTCAGTGCGGTCATGGTAAAGTCTGCTGCTGCCTCCACTGAGAATCGCCTAATTAGAAACAAAAGACCTCCTGAGCATTGACTGATGTATTTGGGTCCCGGCTATATATTTAGCAAAGGCTTCTGTTAACGAGCTCAGAGACACGGCATGAACTCGCAGCTTTTACAGCAGGAAAGTGAATCCCTCAGTGCAGGAGTTTCGCAGAATCCTAGTGCTTTGATTGTTTGTTTCATCTTCTCATTACAGTCATCCTTTCTTGGGATTTTTGCACCATTAAATGCGTAATTACACTGTAAATACAACCATTCTCTGGCTGTTTATCTCTGGCAAGCCATTTAACTTTTTATTCTATGAAATGTACTAGTAGCAAATTTCATAATACTAGCATTTATTACTTAATATCTTATATTTTAGCTACTTGTAGGGCTGCACAATATATCGTTTCAGCATTGATATCGCAATATCTGCAAGTCACATCGCATCTGTAACGTCAATCATTTTAACATTAGATTGAAAGTTTATTATCCACATTTCTTTTATTTGTTTTGTCATTATTTCTAGCTAATTTAAGCCATTTGGACACAATAAAATAAATGTTTGTAGCGTAGCAGTTAATTTTATATAATTATTTATTTCATTTGTATATTTGCTTATTATATATAATTACAAAACCATCCCAGTCTATCTAAAATGATGACTTCTTTCCTACTAGGGCTGTTTTTGAAACTGTATTCCTTTTTTTAAATATCGTGCAGCCCTACTAATGTTGTAGTCCTGGAACCATTCACATCCAAAGTAGGAAAACCAAATACTATGGATGTCAATATTTAGAGGTTTCTAACATTTTTCAATTGATCTTATTTTGTGTTTAACAGGACAAGAATTATCTAACTGGTTTGAAACAATCTACTGAAAAAACAATGACAGAAGTTTCATTTTTGGGTGAACTGTCCCTTTATTATTAGAAAATTTGAAGACAGTATTGAGCATATATATATATATATATATATATATATATATATATATATATATATATATATATATATATATATATATATATATTTTTTTTTTTTTAAACTGCAGTAAAAAAAATAATAAAATATTTGCAATTAAACTATTTTTTTTTTTAGATATTTGCAAAGCATTTTTTATAGCATTGCATTTACAAAACCTGTCTAGTCAATTGCAGTGCTCATTTTGATTTGCTTTTTAGTCAACCGTGAGTTTGTGAAGTTGTTTTCACTGTTTGCACTTCACCTTTCTGTGCGTTTCACTTTGTGGTCCTGATTTGACAAGGGGTAAGGAGTCAAGGGAACTTGGGCGTTTACCGCAGACCCGGACCTCCTGGGCTGTCCTCTTGTTAAATCATGACGTATAGGTGACGTATAGAATACTGTATCCGGGTTCACGCTGCTACTCATTTGTATTGGGAAAATATTCATTTATGGACACTTTTTAGTTCGGTCAGGTCCGGGTTGAATATATGCAAATATTTACGTTTTATTGGTTTATTTATTTATTTTTTGCACTGCTTGATTTTTATTTGCCGTTCTTTTTTGTTTTCTCAAAACTAAATTTCCTGTTGCATTTCTTTAATTTTGTTTGCAAAATTCATGTTTATTTCTCAAAACTTAATTTTCGCCTTGCGATTTTTGGAGATTTGCATTTATTTATTCATATTTATGCTCAATACTTTGTTTTTTGTTTGCAAAACTTTATTTTATTTTGCAAGTATTTATGGCTCTAGATTGACTCTATAGCCGCTACTCATTTGAATTGAGAAAATATTCATTTATGACCACTTTTTAGCCATATGTCACACATTATTTATCACTTTCTGGCCATCTGATATTAGACATAAATATTGCGATCATAATTTTCAAAAGTATTTAAGTGCTTTGTAAACGTTTATTATTACTGTTTGTTGAGTCTCAGTTTAATAGAGCGCTTGGACCCGGAAGCCGACAAGCGGATATTTACTCACTGTA